CAACAATGTTTATATGGGGCCTCCTATGTGCCAGGCCCTGCTCTGGGCGTTGGGGCTTTAGGTAGTCCCACAGAGCTTTGATTTTAGAGTAAGAAATAGACACTAAGTGAGCCACTGAAGAGATGTATTTGACATACAAAATATGGAACATAAGGTCAGTGTTAAGGGCTGTGCGGGAAAATAAAGTGGAAGAGGAGGCCAAGAGGGAGGCCAAGGGTCGGGGAGCAGCTAGGGGTAAGGGGGATCTTTCTGGAAAGGAGATTTTGAGGTAGGTTTAAGTTGGAACATCAGACAAGTTTTTCCTGGATAAACCCTTCTGGAGGAAGCTCTCGGGTGCCCGAGGGGGGCCTGCTTAGCTGAAGCTGACTGGGGCACAAGGAGCGACCCAAGGAAGAAACCCAATATTTATTATTGTGGCCGCGGTCTGGCATTCTGTCAGCACGTTTCTCATTTAACGCTGACAGTTCCCTATGAGATAGAATTATCTCCACCTCCCACAGAATAGAGGAGGCACCGTGATAACCGGCAGCTGGCCAGGGGTGCCCTTCATTCTTCCTGTTGCTCCCTCCCCTTCCCAAGGACTCTGGCCCCAAATCGCTTTCCCAAATGCCCTTGGGGAACCAGAGATGACCAGCACCAGAGGAATTCCTGCGGTAGGGAAAAGCCCTCACGTTCCCACAGGTGGCACCTGTGATCTCGGGGTGCCGGTGGGCCAGGCTGGGAAGGACTCGGTGACATCACTCTGCCCTTTGTAGCCTCGCATATCTCGACACAAAGCGGAGGCAGCCGCAGGGCTCCCGCCAGGCGGTGCCTAGGAGACCTCACATCCCCTCGGCCCGCCCGCGTCCTGCATCTGGGAACCGCCCGCCCTCCCAAGGGAGCCACCTGGGTGGGGAGGAGAGGGAGCCTGAAGCCACGCACACCTTATCCTCAGCTAAGCTCAGGGATTGCGAAGTAGATTAAGGGCATTCGCTCACGAGGACGCCTACTTAACCTGGATCCCCAAAGATCCGGGCAGCTCACCAACAAAGTCTCGGGCTCCGGGCCCCGCGGGGTGCGGGTGCGGGTGCGGGTGCGGGGCCGGGCGGGGCCCCCTTCCTCGCCGGCCGCCTTCCTGCCTTGTTATCAGCACCGCCGCCAGGGGGCGCGCCAGGGCCGGACGACGGAGAGGCTGGCCGGCGCTGGGCGCCTTTGTGCGTTCCATTGACGTTTGTAGCTCACCTATGGTGCTTACCCGGGGCAGGCTTCTGGCACTGCCAGGACGCTACCTCTGCGCTGGGCAGTTTAAAGAAATCTTGTTTGGTGAATTCTTGGGCCCACCACCCAGTCTATGGCCTGCCTGCTTCCAGGCTGTCCTCTCTGGTTGTCCAGCCTTCTAGTGGCTTCCAAGGCGCTCGCTTGAACCGTTCTGAGGCTCCTATAGCTCTTAGGAGAAAGTTAAAAGCCCCTCTCTCCGGTGAGAGACTGTGGGGTCCCCACGCGCCCCCTCGTGCCGCTCCCCTTGTTCTCTTAGGCCCTCTGGATGGGGACACCTGCTGTTTCCCCACCCTGCAGCACTCCCCTCTCTTCACCCTCCCCAGGCCGGTCCTGGGCGCCAGGTTTCTGGGCCCCCGAGCAGCTTTCGGGCACGTTCCGAGCAAAAATGAATAGCACGGCGCTCGATCGGAGATTTCCTCCTCCCTCCCGGCGACAGACGGGTAGCCCCCTGCGGGCGGGCGGGGGGCCTGGCCGCTGTCGTCTTTGTCAACGCGGTGCTCCGCAGGCGGGCCGGCGAGCGGCGCGCAATACACAGCTGCCCACAGCGTGCTCCGGGGGAGCGCACATCAAAAGGAACCTCAGGGCAGCGAGAGAGGTGGGGGTTGGGTGGGGCCGGGCCGTCACCTGGCAGCGCCCAGCTCCCCGATATTCACACACACAACACCTAGGGCTTCCCACGTGCCAGCCCTCATCCCCCAGCAGCCGCCCGGCCCTCCCCCCTTCTTGGCCCTCTTTCTAGAGGCCACCCTCCCATTCAGGGCGGAGGCCTCGGGGTCCACCGCACCGAAGCCGCCACCTCAGCCAGCCTGGCTGACCTTGGAGTGAATTTAACCCTTTCCCCCATCCACTGCAACCCACCCTGAGGTTCGGGGTGCCTATTAGAGAGGCGGTGTTTCCGTTTGTGACACGTGGCGCGGGGGCGTCGTCCCCCTCCCGGGTGGGGACCATTTCTGTGTTCCACCCGCAACACTGGGGGGGGGCGGGAGGAAGGAAATTAAGCCTGTGTTGAAGGAAGGACACCTGGCAGGGGAGGGGAAAGGGCTCAGGAATCCCCTCCTCTGGGGAGATTTCAAGTGGGGGGAAATCCCCACGCCAGCTTCCATTCTCCAGGGCCATGCAGGGCCACTAGTGGGTTCCCACACCTCCCCGCCAGGCCTCCCCTCCTTTACTTCCCCAGGCTGTGCGGCCAGCAGAAGTCCAGGATTCTCTCCTCCCACCCACTTGTTTCCCGGCCTCTCTTCCCTTGCCTGCCTCAAGCTCCTGACCTGGGTCTGCGGGTGCTCCCAGGCTGCCTGGAGGAGGCATTGGGTACAAATGGCCCTGCAGAGAATGACCAGTCTTGCCTAGGCTGCCCAGGGCTACTGGCTGGGCATGTCTCAGCCGACCCTCAGCCCACCCACAGCCTCGGGGATCTTTTGCCCCCACCTCCCGGGGCTGGCACCTATGGACTCTGAGGGCCCATAAGGGACCCCAAGAGGTCATCTAGTCCAGCTCCTGCCTCCTGGCCACACTGAATCCACAATGGTGTCTTGGTGGCCAGGGCAGGTAGACCTGCTCAGCTCTCAGAATGACAATTATGGGCTCTGGAGCCTCCCAAACTGCCAGGCAGAAGGTGAGATCCAGCAGGCACCTCTGATCAGAAAACCAGGGGAGAGTCCCCGTTGGGCAGGACAGAACTCGGTGGGAGGGGAGGACCTAGCAGGCCGTGTGGGGTGTATGGAGGGCTCTCTACCCCTAGTGCTGGGACCCCGGGGCGCCACAGGCCATGATTATGGCAAACCCACTGTGACCCTCTTTCCAGAAACAAGACACCCCAGATTTAGCCGATCACAGGGGCCTCTCTAAAGGATCCCCACTTCTGCAGCCTCCATCCCAGTCGTTGTTCTTGGGCAGGTTGGGGCTTTTTTCCGTCTTGCTCATCCTGCCCCCTCAGCCTCCCTCCTTCCTCCTTCCCCTTCTCTCTCCTCCGGCTCCCCCTGCTAGTCTCCCGCCCTCTTCTCTCTGTATTGATGTCTCTCAGTTTCTCTCTCTCTCTCTCTCTCCTTTCTTCACTCTGTTTCTCCCTGTTCCCCCCTTCCCTCCTCTCTTTCATCTCTCCCCCCACCCCACCCCACCCCTCCAGCCGAGCACCCGCCTAGGAACGCGGCAGGAGCCATGACAAGCCCAGGCGGCTCTCCCGACCCTTGGTGCCCCGGGGCCAGTTCCCCGAGCTCCCCGGGCCCACAGCAGCCGTGTAGGGAGAGGGCTCTCAGGATGGGCAGGGGCAGCAGGTTCGAGCTGTGGGCACGGGTGGCCCAGATCAAAGGCCAGGAATGTCTGGCCCCTGGCCCGGACTTCCTCCGGCCGTGCCCCCTACCTGGTAGAGAGGTGGCCCGCCATTCCGGGCCTCTGAGGGACTTGGGGGCTGTTTCTTTGCTGCCCCTTCTGCCGCCGTCCCCTGAGCAGTGGCCCTTGCCCCCCATCACTGGCCTTGCTTTCTTCACCCCAGGCCCAGGGCTGCTCCAGGGTCCCAGGTGCCTCTGGGGCCGTGGGTGGCCTGGGAGAGGGGTGACAGGTGACAGGGGGCAAGTCCCCCAAGAGTGGCCTCCATCCCAGCACCACTCAGGGCTGAGACCTAATTCTCTGGAGTCTGGAGAGGGAGAGGACAGAAAGACCCCAGGGGGCTGTGGTGGGACTTTTCTCCTGTGGTGGGGGGTGGGGGTGTTGTATACATTTGGCTTCCACCCAGGGAAAGGACCCGTTATCACCGAACCCCAGGTGGGACCTCAGGCAGAGAGTTGGGGGGGAGGGTGCCCTGGCGGGCAGCACAGTCTTCCAAGGACCCCAGCTGCGCCCTGCTGGGGCTGCTGCGTTTCACTGGCCCCAAACGGTTCATGCATAAGATCCAAATGGGACTGCGGGCACTGCTTCTGACCCGAGCTGGAGGCCGGGCCTGAACCCCTCGTGGAGGAGAAAGTGACCTGGCTCCGCGAGCAGGAAATGCAACTGGCCGCTGGTGTCAGTTGCAGGAAATGCAAAGGCAGCAGGAGGTCCCGATACCGATCTGATCCCTGACAAAAGACTCAAATGACACTCAGCTCGGTCCCCCGGCGCCGCCCGCAGCCAGACCTTCGAGCCTCAGCGGACCCTTCTGCGCGCCTCTCGGACACCCGGGAAGCGACCTCCCGCCGCCGGGGTCGAGTGGCCGGCAGGCTCGCCGGCTCCGGAGGCTGGAGGCTGGGAGGGGTTGTATTTCCCAACCCCCCTCCGAGACCCTCGGATCCTGTCCTGCCCGAGCGAGGCTTCTGGAAACATCCGTGTGCTTTCTACTCTCGATTTCTCACGCGCCCAAGTCCAAAGGGGTCACGGTCCCCCGAGAGACAAGGAGCCACCCATCAATGCCCACGCCAACCCGGCACCACGTGAACGCCCCCGTCAAAGCCCCAGCTTCTTCAACCTGGCTGGCGGGGGCGGTGGGGGGGAGCGCCGCAGCGGTCCCGGGCCAGCAGAGGGTCCAACGTGCCACCCCCCCCCAAGTTCCCACTGTGTCCGGGGCGCGGGCTTTGCCCAAGTTTGCTGGGCGATGCCCTTCCCCGAGCCCGACTCGTGGGCCGGGCGGGAGGGGCGCGTGATTGACAGGCTGAACTACAGACTCATCTCTTACCTTAGGCCGCGGGCGCTGATTGGCTGCTCGCTGACATCCTCAAACCCGGCTGCTCCGCGCTGGGCTCGGGAGGGGGGCGGCTGCGGGTGGAGGTGCGCTTCTGACAAGCCCGAAAGTCATTTCCAATCTCAAGTGGACTTTGTTCCAACTATTGGGGGCGTCGCTCCCCCTCTTCATGGTCGCGGGCAAACTTCCTCCTCGGCGCCGCTTCTAATGGAGCCCCACCTGCTCGGGCTGCTCCTCGGCCTCCTGCTCTGTGGCACCAGGGTCCTCGCCGGCTACCCAATTTGGTGGTAAGACTCGCCTCTTGTCTGCCCGCGGCCCGATTTCTCCGCCGAGTTCCGGGGAGGTGGGGGGCGTCGGCGGGGGGTGGGCTGCCGCTCCTTTCTCCTTGCCTCCCTCCAGCCCCCCACTCGCCCACCCCTCCTGGATTTTCTGCTGGTGTCGCCTTCAGAATCCAACTCCTGGCTTTTCTGATAATCACCATTTTCCCTGCTACTCGCTGCAGAGGCTGGAGGACTTTTCCCGGCTCCGATGGTCTCTGATTCTTAAATCCTCACCCTCCACCCGTCCCCATCTGGGGGGCCCGAAGACCCTCCATTTGCTTGCAGTTGGGTTTCTGGAAATCCAGAGCTGTCCCTGGGGCCCAGCCACTCCTCTTCTCCATTTTGGGGTCTTCATGGGCAAAATCATCCTGTTTCTTCATTGCCACCCCCATCTCCGCCGGCGCCTCCATCAAGAGATTTCCCCCACAATAACCCCCTTTTGCCTTCATATTTCAGACCCCAATGGCTTCAGGGACCCCTGGGGCAGGGGAGCGGGCGGGGGGTGGGTGGATTTCATCAGATTCTCCCCACTCTGCTCTAGATTAATCTTGAGCCTCAGAAGTGAATATGGTATTTGCTGATCCGAGATGCCATTGAATTCAGATTTTATTCATTTCTTGTTTGTCCATCCTGGCAAAAGGGGGGCTCTTTGAAAATGTAGTTGTTTGGGAAGGGGTGGGTTTGTTCTTTAACCAAAAACCCAATTCTCCATGTCAAATTCGTTCCTTTTGGAAAACCGAGGACCGAGGAGAAAGGGAGAGAGGGAAAGGAGAATTCTGTCCCCGAGAAATGCGGATACAAAAGACATTTTTAGTAAATAAGGCTGAAACCAGGCGTGGTGTTTGGGGGGGTGTGCGTGTATGGGGGGGACTGACCGAGGAATAAACAGCCCTTTGGGAGCCCCAGTTCCAGGGAGTCCCCTTGTTTTCCAAGCTGCCCCACCGCCCCCCGGCAGGTCCCAGAGGCCAGAGGGGAAAGACACACTGAAACCAGTTCTCTAAATTATACCCCGCCTGTCCTCAGTCTCCAGCCCCCTGCATTCCGGAAAACTTTAATTAAAGAATCTTACCCTCCTGGACGTAGGAGAGCCTCGGCCCGGGGGGTGGGAGGTGAGAAGGAAGAATTTGGGTTCCGTGAGTAAGAAGAGGGCCTGTGGCCCCTGAGCTGAAAGTCAGAGAGGAAGGCCACCAGGGCGCGGTGCCCCCTGCGCGTCCCCCTTTCCCTGACTCGCCACCCCCTCCCCAGGCCAAGCTAGGGGGAGCAGAGCCAGCATGGTTCCGGGGCCACACCCTGAGTCTGCCTCCAGTTGTTTGGGGGCCAGGAGGGGGGCAGGAGCAAGGCATGGCCAAGGATCTGTGTGCAGAGGGTGCTGAGAGTTGCTCCCAGGACATACACCCAAGGGAAAGTCTTTCTTCTGCCCAGCCCACCCTTCCCGCGGCTTTGGGCTGGCCTGGGGCCTCCGGTACATAAAGAAGTCCAAGGGGTGGCTGGGGCAGACAGGGATTCCAGGTCGGGGGCTCTGCCTGTTGGGGGAAGACTGCTGCCTTTCCAGCCCTTTCTGACCCTCTTTCCATCCCTGGGCCAAGGCCATGCTGTTCTTTACCTTCATGGGGACTGGTGGGGGAGGGTATGGAGAGAAGGCTTGGAGCCCCACAGGCTGCAGGGGTGACGAAGAGGCCAGGTCCCCTACCCTATTAACTGGAGGAGGGCACTTCCCGGGGGGGGGGCAGTGTCTGTGGGGAAGGGTTGTGGGGGGTGGGGTGGGAGTCTGGTGTGTAATGATGTGTTGGGGAGCATCTAGATAGCAAGATGTTGGAAAAACCTGGAAAGCCAGGACATCGATGTGTCCAAAGCTGGACACACGGCTTGTTTGGGGGCTGGCGGGGGGCTGGGGGAGACAGGGATGCTGCTTTGTCTGAGCCGAGGAGAGGTTGTGTGTGTGTGTGTGTGTGTGTGTGTGTGTGTTCTAGGTCTATGATCATAAGAGATGTCAACCGTACACGAGTGTGTTTCTGCATGTGGAAGAGTCCGTGCCTGCACCTGGGCCACCATGGATGTAAACTCACGTGAGATGGGGGATCCGTGGCTGTGACAGGGTGTGCTGCGTCTCTATACACAGTGTCAGCAAGTGGCTGATGCTAGGATGTGTGTGTATGTGTGTGTGAGGCAGAGGAAGTCTAGAAGTGTCTATGCCCACGTAAAGGTCAGCCCCTGTGTATGCTTGTGACACTATGCATGACTGTTCATGACTGGGCATGCGAGTGCTGTGTGTGTGTGTGTGTGTGTGCGCGCGCGCGTGTGCATGCGTGTGCGCGCATGCCTTCGTGACGGTGTGAGGGGAAAGCCCCACAGCTGTCTTTGTGCATGGATATCAGTGCTCATGGCCATGACCTGATTGTGCTTGTAAGTAGGAGTGTGAGGCTGTGTCTGGGTCCGCCTGGGACCCTGTCCTCAAGTGCCAGTGACTGGTGGGGCCCAGGGTTGTGGATACGTTTACAGACCTACGACTTACGGGTGTGAGTGACAGCCTGAGCTTGGGTGCTTGGTGGGCGTCCGTGGTCCTGGAGGGGCAGTCCAGCAGGAGACAAAGGTCTAACAAGGAAGCTGCGAAGGGCCCGGCTGACCTAGGGTCCCGGGCTGGGCAGTGTTGGGGGCAGGGGACAGAGCCTTTCTTGGCATGAGCTCATCCTGTCTGCCTGAGGACAGCGGTCAGCATCCCTCCCCTCTTAGGCCGTTTGTCTTTGGTCTTGGAGCTGGGGTGGAAGGGAAGGCACCTTCTTAGAGCTGGGGCTGGGCCTGGGACAGGGATGGTAGAGTGGACAGGCCTCGGATTCCTGTTCCCGCTCTGCCTTGAGGGCAGTCGGTCAGATTCCAGCTCTTTCAGCATTGGAGCCCAGCACAGCCTGCCCTCTTTAGCCCACCCAGCTCACACATTCCCCAGGAGGCACTTACAGGGGCAGTGGTTTAGCTGGGATTGCTGTCCCTGCCACCTCTCAAGAAAGGCCCCTTGAACCCCCAGGGGCCGGTGCTGCTCGGGCCCCAGCCCCGAGAGAAGGCAGCCCAGAAAGTAGAGCCATTAGGGCCTCAGATGGAGGATCAGGGAAGGAAGAGATGGGCTCCAGGCCTTCCCAGCCAGGTAGGGGTAGAGTGGGGACAGGAAGCCGTGACAGCCGCACTGATTTCTGTAATTCTCGTCAGTCCCAGTTAGCGCCTGCTGGAGGAACTTGTCTTTCTTCTCCTTCTTGGGGGAAAAAAGAACTCCCTTATTAGGGCCCATCCTAGGGCCTGCTACATTCCAGAGACAGAGGCCCTGATGGAAGGGGCCTACGCTGGGGGTCGGGAGCCCACCCTGCCTCTGTGTGACCCACCCACTTGGGGCTCTGCTTCCTCTTAACGCTCAAGCTTCCCCAGCCTGTCCTGCCTCACAGCCTGGGTGAAAGTGTTCTGCAGAAGTCAAGGGCAGTGAGCTGGGAAATAAGACACCTGAGTTCTCTTTCCACCACCCTGGGACCCATTCCCCCACTCCAGCGGCTGCCCCAAGCGCTGCCTCAGTTTCCCTCTCTGTCAGCAGTCATGCTGCCTCCCCCACTCGCTCCCACCTCCACCCGCCTTTCAGAGGCTTGTGAACATGTTCAGTCAAACCCCGTGGGGGTCAGTGGGCTGGGCCCAAGGAGGCACCTGGAGACTGCGGGGGAGGAAGGCCCCAGGCCAGGTGTTAACACTTGTAACAGGCAGGAATTACAGCTGGCTGGGGCTGGGGCTGGGGCTGGCGAGGAGCTGAGCTGGCTGGAGGCTGTTGATCCCACAGACAGACAGACAGACAGACAGATGGGCAGATTGGATGGCCAGGCTTGAACCGGGTGGTCTCCCTTCCAGGGCAGGCCTTTCCCTGGGGGGACTTTGGGGGGTGGTGGAAATTAATCCAGGTCTCTTGGAAGTGAGTTAACAACCCTCCTGCCCACCCCACCCCCACTGTGGGTGGGGCCTGCTGTCCAAGGGAAGCAAATTTGGTGGCGGATCTGTTTGTATTCTTATTATGGGACCACATTTTGTTTAAAACAAAAACAAAAACAGGTCAAATGTTATAATACTACCAGGAGCCTGGAGCTGAGTTATTTTCTTGGAAGAACCTGCTTTAGCATAGGGGAAAAGGCATGGGGGAAGGGGCAGCAGTCAGGGAAAGTTCTCCCCGAATCTCAGAACATTTTTCAACAGCTCTGGGGCCAAGAGGTGAGTGATGGGTGGAGTCTGGGCTCTGAGCATCACTCACACCGCAGGGATCTTGAGGGCCCTGGGTCTGAGTTCTGGCTAGTAGGAAGACCTTCTGGGAGTGGGGGTGGGTCAAAAGAGTCGGGTGCCAAGTTCTTTAGTGGACACTCTCCCTCCCCACAGCTTTCCCAGTGACAAACCCAGCCAGCCCCCACGCTCTGCTATCTGGGTGCGTGCTCAGTAACTGATGACGGTGGAGAAACTGAGGCAGACGGGGAGGGGGGGGGCTAGGTGGAAATCCCCAAAGAGTAGACTCAGCCAAGCGAGCATCTCTAAGTCACCTCACTACAGAACTGAATGTTAAAAAGACCTGAATGGGACTTGGACAGACCAAAGATTGAGAAGACAGTGTGGGCAGTTGAGAAGGTGATCTGGACACGAAGTAGGGGAAGGGAGCTATGACCTTAGGGTTTTCTCTAGACTTTGAATAGGTCTGCGTGGGAGACAAAGAGCTTGGGGTCAGGGCAGGAGAGGTGAGTTTTCTCAGAGGAGGATGGAGCTAACTGACTTTTCTGGGGAGAGTGGGGGAAAAGGAAGATCGTCCTGGCCTCAGAATGTGGTGAGCTCAGGAGTGGAGTAGGACCTGGTCTTCTAGCCTTTTCCACCCACCCTGCTGGGAGCCGTAGAATCCTTCTAAAGCCACCAGGGAGGGAAAGACATTCTCTGCCTCCGTCCCTGCTTGGGAGAGGAGGTATGTC